AAAAACTTGTTTATCACACTGAATTTATACTACTAAACAAAACCCTAACTATCCAGCTACAATTTAGTGAATAAATGAATAAAGTAAACAAAACGGTATTTAAATAAATTGAAATCAAAGTGGTATAGCCATATTCTGGCCGCCCTGTATTTGTTAATGTATTTTATAATTAAATTATTATAACACTAATGATAGTGTTACTGAGCACTTAAGAGTATTTTTAATTAAAAACTTGTTTATCACACTGAATTTATACTTTATATTTATACTTATAAATTACTAAAATTAATTATTTTATAATGCACAAATATGAAACCTTAATTAACAAATAATTAAGATTATAAATCTAAAATTTAATTTTTAGTAAATATATATATAAATTTAATCTAGTTAGAATAGATTATTGAGTAATATTGTATTAACGTTATAATCCTATTGTCTAAGAGTTTGAAAAGTCTGAAAAAATTGGCATTTTGTAAATTTTATTTGCAAATACGATGAATAACTTATTATACAAACTATTGAATTATATATTCAATAATGTGTTTGACTTTCTCTTATACTTTTAGCATTGTTTGCATCTTTTGGTGTGTTTAAAGCAAATATGGACTCAATTTTGAATTTCAAAATCTTAAATCAATTTACATTTTAGTCAATGGGAAAAAATCACGCAAACAATCAGATTTAAAATGAATTTATTATTCAGAGAGGGAGAGAGGGAGAGAGAGAGAGAGAGAGAGAGAGAGAGACTTTTAAAGATGTCAATTATAGGTATAGGTATTATATTATAAATACTATAATATTATAAATTATTGCTTAATATAAGGTTCATACTGTGTATTATGTATTTTATATTAGTATTACAAACTGAATCATATAATTAACACAATTCTTTAGTAAAACAATATATTCTTTTAAATCATTTAATTAATTCAAATACAGTTTATTTTTGTAAACATTTTAAGTATGAAATATTGATATTTTATTTCTAATCCTATTAAACATATTTTTAAAACCAAAACCTGTGCTAATAATTATAAATATATTTTTATTATGCTTAAAAAAGTTTATTTATATATTATTTAATGTCCATAGATTAAGCATTAATTTGTATTAACATTTGTTTTGAAAATTAAATACTATAATAAGATATTTTTATTATTATATTTGGAAATTTTATACAAAATAAAATAATATAAAATTAACAATTGAATTCATATTATTTACTAAATGCTATGAAAGGTACAATTAAAAGCAATTTAAAATTATGTGTTTAAAAAGGTTTTATTAAATTTCTATTATTATTGAATTCTTTATCATATCATTTGTATATAATATTTCTCAATACAGTAATCATTTTATATATTCTTTTCAAATATTTTGTATTTGAAATTTGCATAATAATTGAAATGTATTTTATGTCAATTATTAAATACATTCATAAAAATTTTTATAGACTGTTAAATATTTTATTTTGAAATTAAAGCATAAATTATACATAAATTGGTAAAAAATATAACAATATTTATTACAAATTTATATCATTCATATGTTAAATATGTTAAAAATTTAAATCATATCCTTATATAAAATATATTAAATTTTATAATATAACTAATTTATAAATTTACTATTAATCGCAGTATTTAAGTGTTTGAATAGTGTTTGTCTATTAATACAATAAAACATTTTGATTGAAAATAATATATATAATTTATATTAAACGGCTATCAATTGTGATGCCGTATATAAGTACAGATTATATAAACTATAAACTGTGGGCGTGTTTCACATACAGAAATCACAACTCAATTACGAGATTACAAACTAAATATAAACCGAAAGTATTGTTTTAATATCAAACTTTAAAATAAACCACAAAATGAAAACAAATTTTGATTGATATGTCTATTCCTGTGTCTAAACACTCACTCACTCTCAACACATCGTTTATTTTCCGGCAACATATCAATCGACAACTTAATTATATAATTAGTTATCATTTGTTTCTTATCACTTTCAATGTGTTGAACGCTTTTATGTATAAAATGTAAAAATACACTTTTGATTATGTTTTTTAACAAATTAAGTTTCAAAATATGTTGTATTATTATCTACTTGTTTGTTACCCGAACTAACCTTGTTACTATGCTCTCTCTCTCTCTCTCTCTCTCTCTCTCTCCACTCATTCATTTCACGCTAATAATTAATACCATAAATTAATAGCAATCAAAAAAGTTATAAATTGTTTAAAAGTCATTATAAATTATTAGACTTAATTCATTTCCAATACTAACTCTCATATATCGCATAAAATAAATCAACCGGTACCTTGTGTTAAAAAAAACATATTTGTCTCAAATTGAATTAAAATCTCAATATATATGGAGTAGAAAATAAAAACCCATAATCTTTAATATCATTAATGAAAATAATATAAAATAAAACATAATATAATCATCTCTTCCTATACTATACTATAAACTCCTAATTGAATGGCGAATAAGACTGCAGTGTTTAGTGTGTATTAAATCAAAAAAGCAATTTATTTGTCAAAAAAATAATAATTTGTATACAAATAAAAAAATTATTAAAATTATTATCATTTTTATTTTTCTTATCTAACATTCAAATTATATTGAATCAAATTGTTTAGCGCAAGTAGTCTCTACTGTTTAGTCGTATATCACATTATTGTATTAAACATAATATGTTTTTTATTTTGATCAATGTAAAATCAAAACAAAAATAAAATATAAGCTTATGTATATGAAAAAATAATAATAATTTCGCTTTCAATTTGCGGACAATTTATTTATTTCCGTATTGTATGCCTCGTAACAAAATAATTTATTTAATAACAATAAAACTAAATATTTTTATCATAATTTATTTAATAGTATTTATAAATATTAATAACAAAAGTGTTTTTCATGCGCTATAAAGCGTTTGTGAAAATAATTATTAAATTTACATAAATATAAAATTTTAATCCCATTTGTAATGGCACAGGGAGATCGGGAAAAGGGTTATAAATTATCAGTGAATAACTAAAAACATGAGACAAATCTGCAAATAATGATTGAAAACTTATTTCTGTGTAAATATTTGAACATTTGATTAGAGATTTTACTCTTAGTAATATAAAAAATTTTATATTAAAATAAATGTTTATTTATAACTCCGAAAAAATTTATTAAAAGCAAATTGAATTGAAAACTGATTTTATTTTTATTTACTTTTTGATTGTCAGAGACTCTCATTACGTGAATCACATACCAATACAATACATAAACCCATGAAAGTAATTGCAAATAAAATCACAAAATATACTATAAAATGCTGAAAAAGTTTAACCACCAAAATCTTACTCCTAATTAATTAAAAATCTATTGTCAAATTGATTGTAATCTAATTGAATAATTAATTATAAAGATATATCAATTAAATCCTAGATATATATAATACCCATTATATACGTTTTTACATTATATAATTTATATATATGTAAATGTATAAATTATTACTATAATTAGTTGTTTTAGTCAAAAACTTTTAAACTCTTATTTAATTAATGGTATGATTAGAAAAATTAACATATGGTTTTTATTTTAATTAAATTTTTTTGCATGTGATAAACCTTTCCAAATACCTTAAGATTTAATAAAATATTTAAAATGAGAAAAATCATATTAAAATAAAAATCCAATTTCCTTTTTACCCAATCATTCAAATACTTAGTGAATTAGAAAATATGTTTTGAAACAATTTTAATTTGAGATTTACTTAAACACTAGTAATAAATAACATTTACTATCAGTTGATGTGTAAAAATGGAGACTATTTCTGGTTATTTATTATCATTAAAGCACCTGTCGTTGTGGTCATGGATCACAATCACTATTATTTTTCTATTGACAGCGATTTACTGGTATTTTAAAGAATAATTGTTATTAATTACGATATAAGTATTTACAACATATATTAAAAAACTATCAATTTATCAATTAGGAGTTTTACCAGAAAATTTAATCATTTTACTAAAATGGGTCTAAAGGGTCCGACACCTTTACCTATTTTCGGCACAAGTCTCTACGTATATCTACGACCCCGGGCATTATTATACTTGAAATGGTTTAAGCAACATGGACCACTTTATGGGTACTAAATATTGTTTATTTTACCAAATAGCGTACATTTTTTATCATAACTAAAATAATCATAACAAATACTTTAACATAAATAATTGAAACCAATTGCAAATAGCATATACGACGGCAATACCCCGGTGCTAGTGGTGGCCAAACCAGACCTAATCAAAGCAATTCTGGTGCAAAACTTTACTGATTTCCGGGCGACGAGTGGCGGCGCCTCCGGGCGATCGCGAGTCCGACATTCAGTTCAGTAAAACTGCGCAAAATGTATGAAATGATGAGACAGTGTCTGCAGGACCTCATGGATCAGGTGCTGGAGGTGCGGGCCGTTGAGGGACAGACACTTGATTTGCTGGAACACACGGCAGCTATACGATGGACGTGATCAGCACCGTTGCCTTCGCCACTAAAACCCAGCCCTACAACAACCCCGACAACCAATTCGTGAGATGTGCCGCCGCTTTGGGAGATCTCAATGTTTTGGGCGAAATACTGGCCATACTTTTACCCAAATTTGTTTGCCGTCTATTGGGCTATAAGTCGAGTAATAATGAAAGTAATAATGAATTCCTGATGAATGCCATCAAACATGTTATAAGACAACGAAAGGCTGAACCAAATAGTGGTGAGAAATACAATGATTTCATTCAACTCCTGTTGAACGCGGAGGCGTCCGATAAGGGGGTGCCGGACGAGGCCAGCGATGCCACTGAATCTCATCACATTAACCAGGGTTACATTCAAATCAGTTTAACATTAGCAAAGTTTTTCATTGTTTGCAATCACTTATAGGCGCCGAAGAGGCAGACGTCGAACGGAAAGTCCTATCAATGAAATACAAACACAACACTATGACCGAGGAGGAGATCATAGCCCAGAGTTGGCTATTCATTTTGGCCGGTTATGACACCACCGCCAATACACTGATGTTCTGCTCCTATGAGTTGGCAATGAATCCCGAAATACAGGACCGGATCTACGAAGAGGTGGAGGCGGTGGTCGACCCGACCGGTGAGATCGGTTACGACGACTTGACTCGACTGCCCTTTTTGGACGCCGTGCTGTCGGAGTCCCTACGGAAATACCCGCCGATTGTAATGTTGAGCCGACAGGCAGTGAACGACTACACAATACCCGACCCGGGAATTGTGATCCCGAAGGGGCAGCACATTGAGATACCTGTTTATGCTGTACACCATAATCCAGAATATTACCCAAATCCAGATAAGTTTGATCCAGATAGATTTATGCCAGAAAATAGAGACAAAATCAAGCCCTACACATACCTGCCCTTTGGTGCCGGTCCTCGCAATTGCATTGGTATGCGAGTGGCGCTAATGGAGGCCAAGCTATGTATCGCACATCTGGTCAGACGATATACACTGTTCCCCTCTAATGAGACACCCGTTCCCATTAAATACAGGGTTGGGAAGTTGGTATTAGCCACTGGTAAAGTAATTGTTGGCATTAAAAAGCGTTAATATTATTTTCTAAATATGAATTTTGTAATATTTTCTAAAATAAAAATTAAACATTAAAATTATATATTGTGTTCACGTTATGTTTGTAATTACTTCTTAAATGTAGTACATTATGAAACTGTGTTGCTAATAGTTTTTATAGAGACAGTTACTTTTTGTGTATATATTCCTGTCATTAATACCGGTAATAACCTTGTAATTATAGCAAATGTTGTTGTCAAATTATTCATAACAATTTAGTAAAAACATCATTAATTTTTCTGTAGTATTTGTATTACCGTTATATTAAAATTATTTAGCATACTAGTCATTTCTTACCTGTGTACCTTATATTATTGAAAACATTTTACATATGTTATGAATTATCGTTAATATTTGCACTAATGGTATTTTATTTTCAAATAAATATTAGTTTCTAGTATGAACTAAAAGTAAGCTAACAAAAGTGATCAATAAAATAAATTATCTTTTTATAATAATCAAAAATTATTAAAAATTATTTTATATTATTAGCAGTAATTTATTAGATAACTAACACATATTTTATTTACCATATTATGAAAGATCAATAATAATGATAATAATCAGTGCAAAGGTTTTGAGTAAAAAACTGATGGATTGTTTGATTTGTTCAGATTTAGGATTTCTCTCTCTCTCTCTCTCTCTCTCTCTCTCTCTCTCAGTATTTTCAAAATCCTGTATTGTTTTGATGTACAGTATTTTATGCACTGAATTATATAACTGCTATCAAAAGCACTTATTTTATATATTTTTATTTAGTAGAAAATATTTTGCAAAACTACTTTAAAAAAGTATTTAAAATTTTTTGGATTCACTACTATTTTACTATTATATGTGATCTTTATTTTTGGATTTACTTTTGTTTTTCATTATAATATAAAATGTATTTTTATTGAATGGGATAAAAGTTTCAGCAGTTTTGTTGTTGTTTATAATGTATTCTTTAGTCATATATCTTATATGAATGTAAAAAATAAAATATTAATTATTTTATGTTGAAAAATAGCTTTTATTTTGGCAAAAATATGTTACATTCAAATGCATACACAACACGTTGTAATGGATTAGTATTTTTTGCCCAAATAATGGCATTTTATTATTCAATTCATAAGCATTTAATAAAAATCTTCATTTAATACCTAAAATAAAAGGTCAACGAATTGATTAGTATTTTCTCAATAAAAACGATTTTCATATGAAAAACAAAATGAATAAAAATTATAATGTATTAAAATAATGCCAGTAATACAATACTTATAGCCCCGGAATAAATTTATTTTATGTAATAATTGGTTTATAATTTTTTCAGTAAATTTAAAATTTAAATACCGATTTGATTTAAAATACCGTACGATATGTCAACTATAACTTAATAATAAAAATAATTTATTGTGATTTTGTGAATAATTTTGATTTAAAAATCTAATATTTCACTCAAAATAAAATAGTAAATCATAATTGTATTGGAAATGAAATAAATGTTTGTATTTATAGATAAAATATGCTAATAGAAATGGGACCTAGTTAACTAAAACGTCAAAAATAGTAATTGTGAAAGTCATAGGAACTGCCCATTTGAGGGATAGACCTTTAATAAGCCTTTATTTTTATATACTTATAAAAAACAATTGATTTTATAGTTTTATTTTTGTTACAAAATATTTATAATAAACAAAAACATAATCAAAATAACTTTGCATTAAAAAATTGGATCACACAGTTATACAATCAGACAATAATAGCAATAACTATAAAAATAAATGTTTTAAATGAATAAAACAATAAATAACTTTTTCGTATGAAAATAAATTGCAAACAAATATTTAAGTTGATTAGCATTTCTGTCAAAAATTATTTGAAAAATTAAAAATTTAAATCACTGTGTATTGTATGCATAGATAGTGTACTGAATATAATGATCGAGAAATTGATGAGTGATTTATGTGTTTTATAAACAAAATCAATTATTATATAACTGTAGGGTATTTATAATTGAATTTTTAGTATAAACTGCAAAATTTAATAATGATTTAATAGATTTGTACATTATTTTTAAATTTTTTTAATTAAATTGATAACACAAATTATGATTTATGATTATTTTTGTATAAATTATAGCACTACAGAAAAACCTATGCTTAACATTTAAAATATAAAATATTATTTTAAACTTATACATACATAGATAAAATGTCATAATTTCTACAAATACAAATAATAAATAAATGGTAATTATACTACCTGCATAATAATTATTATTGTTGTAACATTTTATTTAATTAAAACATTAACTACTAAATATTATAATTAACGCTTTTTAATGCCAACTATAACCTGATGGCAAACCAATACTATTTTTAAAACTCTATATTTGATGGGAACGGGTGTCTCATCCGTAGGGAACAGTCTATACCGTCTGACCAGATGTGCGATACATAGCTTGGCCTCCATTAGCGCCACTCGCATACCAATGCAATTGTGAGGGCCGGCACCAAAGGGTAGGTATGTGTAGGACTTAATTTTATTTCTATTTTATGGTATAAACCTATCTAGATCAAATTTATCTAGATTCGGGTAATACTGTATACTGGGTTATGGTGTACAGCATAGATAGGAGTAAAATAAATTCTCATTACGTTAAAAGTAAATTGAAAATCAAAAGTATTGCAATTTGTTATAAATGTTTATAATTATAAGTTTATTTATTGACAATATTTTCAATTGCTGTATTTCATGTTAAGACTTTATAAGGCAATATTGAAAATTATTGATATTTTGACATGCAATTACATTTTAATAACGGTATAATTGTATTTAGTTGTAGATTATTAAATTATGTGTTAATAAAAAGAAACGAATAAATATTAATAACATCTGAAAATGAAATTAATTTTCATTAAAATATTTTAATACTGTATTTATGAATACATACCTTGAATGCAATACTTCTGGTGATTATGTAGTGATTACTACACGAGAAGCCTATCAATCGGTTTCTATCACTCACTCGAGACATACATATTTCTAGCTATAAATACATTTTTCAAATAAAATGGTCACAAAAAATTGTATCACCAAAATTATTTCAACAAACCTTTATTTTGCAATTAACTTTTAATGATGAATTCATACACATATAGAATTGATTTAATGTTTTATATGTGTTTGTGATATGAATATGAATATCAGATGTGATTATATTCAATGCAAACAGAGATAATAGAAATAAAATGTTAAAAACTGTGTATAAAATCCTTATACTTATGTCAATGTTATGGAAAAGTAAGAGATTTAATACAACTTCATTGACAGGTATTAATGGATACGTGAGTATGAAATATATATTTCTCCAAAATCTATTGTGTAACTCAATGTCCAAGATAATTTTATTGTGAAGTGAAGTTATATTATTTAATATTTTAACCTTAAGTAGACATTTGTTAGATTCAATATTAATTAAGTATTTATTATAATGTCTAATACGACATCTAATGTAATAGCAAACCATTAGATAATAAAATAGTATCCAAATAGTAGTTCTCGTGAATACATAATACATTTGAAGGTAAATAATTAAAGCGAGGACACCATATAGTAGATTATGTAAATCATAGTTTAAAATAATTATTAATAAAAAGCTCAAGCACGCTACACCATCAAATATATACAATATATATTTAGTTAGCTGGTAAAATAATATGATTTTGTACTTAAAATTATGTATCAAATATTTATCGCATAAATCAATTGATTGAAAGGTTTGGTAGCCATTGATAGCTGAGATGATATCAAACCATTTATAATCACTTGCATTGCGAGTGTTTAATAAAATAATTAGTGATAAAACCATAGAAAGTGCCAAGATAGTGACCAAATATATAAATTCTTTAAGACTACCCAAGAATTGAAATAGATCAAGGTAATAGTCTGGTAATCGTTTGTTTGGTTCACTTTTATAGTAGTAATACAAATAACGAAGTAAATGTAGAAACATTGAAATAAATGTAACTAAAACTTTACATTTTTGTATAATTAGTTGCCTTTTAATAACGTATCTATGGTTTGCATCAAATCTATAAAATATCCAATTCTTATACAATGGATACTCAATATCCGACGGTTTAATAATACATATATTTTCTTTAAAAGTACTAATCATGTTAAAAATATTTAAAATTAATTTACAATATTATAATCAAATAGTTTGCATTATTTGGATAACATAACAATTAAACACTTAATTCTTGTATGTGTGTTAGTTATCTAATAAATTACTGCTAATAATATAAAATAATGTTTAATAATTTTCGATTATTATAAAAACCTAATTTATTTTATTGATTACTTTTGTTAGCTTACTTTTAGTTTATATTAGAAACTAATATTTATTTGAAAATAAAATACCGTTAGTGCAAATATTAACGATAATTCATATAACACATGTAAAATGTTTTTAATAATATAAGATACACAGGTAAGAAATGACTAGTATGTTAAATAATTTTAATGTACAGGTAATACAAATATTCCAGAAAAATTAGTAATGTTTTTACTAAATTGTTATGAATAATTTTACAACATGTGTTATAATTACAAGGCTATTACCGGTATTAATGACAGCAATATATACACAAAAAGTAACTGTCTCTATAAAAGCTATTAGCAACACAGTTTCATAATGTACTACATTTGTGAAATTAATTACAAACATAACGTGAACACAATATATAATTTTAATGTTTAATTTTTATTTTAGAAAATATTACAAAATTAATATTTAGAAAATAATATTAACGCTTTTTAATGCCAACAATTACTTTATCAGTGGCTAATATCAACTTCCCAGCCCTGTATTTAATGGGAACGGGTGTCTCATTAGTGGGGAACAGTATATACCGTCTGACCAGATGTGCGATACATAGTTTGGCCTCCATTAGCGCCACTCGCATACCAATGCAATTGCGAGGACCGGCACCAAAGGGCAGGTATGTGTAGGGCTTGATTTTGTCTCTATTTTCTGGCATAAATCTATCTGGATCAAATTTCTCTGGATTTGGGTAATATTCTGGATTATGGTGTACAGCATAAACAGGTATCTCAATGTGCTGTCCCTTCGGGATCACAATTCCCGAGTCGGGTATTGTGTAGTCGTTCACTGCCTGTCGGCTCAACATTACAATCGGCGGGTATTTCCGTAGGGACTCCGACAGCACGGCGTCCAAAAAGGGCAGTCGAGTCAAGTCGTCGTAACCGATCTCACCGGTCGGGTCGACCACCGCCTCCACCTCTTCGTAGATCNGCGTTCAACAGGAGTTGAATGAAATCATTGTATTTCTCAGCACTATTTGGTTCAGCCGTTCGTTGTCTTATAACATGTTTGATGGCATTCATCAGGAATTCATTATTACTTTCATTATTACTCGACTTATAGCCCAATAGACGGCAAACAAATTTGGGTAAAAGTATGGCCAGTATTTCGCCCAAAACATTGAGATCTCCCAAAGCGGCGGCACATCTCACGAATTGGTTGTCGGGGTTGTTGTAGGGCTGGGTTTTGGTGGCGAAGGCAACGGTGCCGATCACGTCCATCGTATAGCTGCCGTGTGTTTCCAGCAAATCAAGTGTCTGTCCCTCAACGGCCCGCACCTCCAGCACCTGATCCATGAGGTCCCGCAGACACTGTCTCATCATTTCATATATTTTGCGCAGTTTTACTGAACTGAATGTCGGACTCGCGATCGCCCGGAGGCGCCGCCACTCGTGGCCCGGTATGTGAAACAAATTTTTTGAGAGGATTGGATGCGTCAGTCGTCGGGGTCTCCGGTCGCGGAAATCAGTAATGTTTTGCACCAGAATTGCTTTGATTAGGTCTGGTTTGGCCACCACTAGCACCGGGGTATTGCCATCGTATATGCTATTTGCAATT